GACCTGTTTTAGATCCGAGGTCTCCAACCTTTTTGCTTCAATGAGCTACCTTTCTAAATGAAAATGTTAGAGAGCTAATAAATTTAGCAGTTGCAAGAAATTGTGTTTATAGTCAAGCCCTACATGGGGTAGAGTTAGATGCCTATAAAACAAGCCATTATCCAGTTATTAGTTATGCATCGAAACTATACATGATTTATAATGGTAATAGGAATTTCCTTCAGCAAAGTTTTGTAATTCAGCAAAATACGTATTATTGAGAAAGTCCCTTGGTGAGAAGGGGGTTAACAGCTGCTGGTAGCTCCCAAGCTTCAGGTTGAAGACCCCTGTTCTAGACCTTATCTTGGGGCTAAATTTGAAGTTTGACTGAGCATAGTCAGTTGTACCCCTTATTGTTTTCACCTGTTTATGTTCTGCTTTAGAATGAGTTCACAGCCACTTCATTATTAAAACACACTGTACCCCTGTGTTTAGGATGTCACGGGCACTGACCCGCGTTGCCACTGGTTACGAGGTCAGAAGATCACGGACATAAAAACTGTGGCCTGGATGATCACCCTTAGCGATGGGGTTCATAACTTTATCGACGGTTTGGCGATTGGAGCCTCGTTCACTGTGTCTGTGCTCACCGGCTTCAGCACCTCCACTGCCATCGTCTGTGAGGAGTTTCCACATGAACTAGGTAAAATATAGTAATACACATAAAGTCTGAGTATTTATCAATTAGTTATTATTGATATCTGTATCTGTTGCTGCACTATGCAACTTTTCTGGTTGTTTTCATCGGGATGTTATAGACTTAAACTTAGACAAACTTTATCCCACACAGGAAATTATTTGGACACAGTAGCTCACACATCACAATAAATATTATAAATATAATAATAATAATACATTCAAAATAGGTAGCAAACATAGCTAGAGAGACTGGTGTCAAATAAGGCATAATTATATAAATGTATAAGAAAATATAGAAATATAGTAACACAAGTATATCTCAATTGTTATGTCTGGAATGTTGCACAGTATGCATTATACGTATTTATCTTGCATTTAATCAATAACTTGAAATGTAGTATATGAAAATTGTGGTGGGAGTTGCCTCTCCGCAGATCTGACCTCTAACTTGGCCTGGTGGCGCCGTATGCTTGTCTACATGCACATAGATAAGTCAGTGCCATACTGTAGAAAAGTAATAACATCTCCATTGAGACAAGCAGGTGGCACGCTCAGGTACCAGAAAATTTGCTTTGTACACTTTTAACCAGGACAGTAAACCAGTATCATAGCAACAAGATGAATCACAATTTTAATGTTACATAAGAAATTGCTACAGTTTCACTTCATGTTATATCATGTCTTTATGGGGCCCTATGTTAAAAACCTGCTATGCCTGTATTTTTAGACCTGTACTAACACATTAGTTGTGAAAATTGTTAATCTAATCTCAACCACACTTTATTTATCAGCAAGATCTCAATTAGATTTCCAAAATTGCTCAGGCCTAAAATACCAGGGACTCTTCTCCAGATTTTCAATGATTGTGTTATTGAGTATATAACTGGAGTACTAGTCTAATTTACAATTTTAGGATGGTTTAGATTGGTGATACTGGAAAACTCATAGACATCTAAACAAGAGAGAGCATGTAAATTCCAAACATGAATAACCCCTGCAGGAACTGACTTTCTATCAAGCAGTCCGTGGTGGAAGAAGTACTTAATTTTGTTACTTAAATAAAAGCACAGATACCAGGGCAAAAAATACTCAAGTAAAAGTAAAACTATCACATGAAAAATCTATTTAAGTAGAAGTATTAAAGTAGCTGTTTAAAAATGTACTTAAAGAGTATAAAGTAAAAATATTTCAAAAATTTTTAGGTTTAATAAAGCTTCAAATGTACTTATTTTGATAAAGATTTGTGCTGAATTTTGTTTAGTAGAAACAATTAAATTTGTATATTTTTATAGACTTGTTACTTACATCATACTCACTTCCAGTAAAAAAAAAAAAAAGTATAATGGAGTGGAAAGTACAGATACTGTCTCTCAAATGTAGTGCATTAAAAGGAAAAGAAAGATTGTACTGAAGTGCAGTACTTTTATTTGGCTACGTTCCACCACTGCAACCAACTGAACATTTTAGCAGAAGAGGCTTTCACTTCTTATTTTAATTCCATATACGATATTTAGACTTCTTAAATGAAGGATCTTGATACCAAACTATACAGTGGTTTTGACTCACTTCCTTGTTTTTTATTCACCTAAATGTCTTTTTCATTGTTTAAGGTTAAGCAGGTGATTTCTGTGTTTTTCCAATCCGTGGTCCAAGTTGGCAGCGGTTGCTATGTCAACTAACCACAGGTGGAAACTAAAATTCCGTTCACACTTATCCATAAAGTCATTACTAAATGTTTAATTTAAGAGCTAAAGATGTTTCCATAACAACGTAACTGAGTGTAGGCTAGTGTATTTAATTATAATTTCTGTACTCGATCAGCAACTTACTTGCCCAATCACATTTTAGCCTACACTAAAAATCAAGCTCAAATTCCATGATTCTCAAAACATTGTCATCTTTTTATCCAAAGATAAGACCTACTAAACCGAAGGACAAAATCTTTAATACCGATCCCCTTAACAGCACCACTGCACTGTATTTGTGAGTAAGTAAGTATTTATTTAGAAATGTCTTTCACAGACATTTCTGTCCCCAAAGACACTTTACAGAGCATTATTCAGCATTATTCATTCACTCTATACCCTGGTGATGGTAGCCCTGGGGCACACTGACAGAAGCACAGCTGCCATGCCACTCAGCGCCATCGGTCCCTCCGACCACCACCATCACTCACACTACTTTCATACTAGGCAAATTGGGTGAAGTGTCTTGCCTAAGGACTATTTAACTGACCTTGACTATAAACTGTTTATGGAGATCTATGCATGTTTTGGGTTGATGGGGGAAACCGGAGCACCCAGAGGAAACCCATCCAGTGGAGAAACATGCAAACTCCACACAGAAAGGCCCGGGCGACCCGGGAATCGAACCCAGAACCTTTTTGCTGTGAGGCATGAGTGCTAGCCACTCAGCCACTGTGCCGTATTTGTATATCCAAGTCTATTTATATTTACCTTATTTCAGTGCATTCCTTTATTTTTGTTTTTTCATAGTTCATGCATATTATTATTCTTCGTTTAGTTCCTAGCTTGTGAATTTTGTTCACTGACAATGGCAATAAATCTCTGGTTCGGATAAGGATTAAAATCGGACTAAGTAGGCATCCTCCTTGCATTACAATCAAACAACGGTAAAGTTTTTTTTTTTTGTGGCAACACACAACTCCAGGAAGTAGTCTGTCTTGGTGTGCAGATTCTCAATTAGCAGCTTCCAAAATAGGTCATGTTAAGGCTCCACATGCTTTCAGTATTCAGTATTTCCAAGCTCTAGATATAAATACACAATGGTAAAACAGTCCTTGTTCCATAAAGTATAGGGTACATTAAAATATCTAAACTTGGTATGCAGTTTATATTGACTTGAATGAACCAATCCAAAACTACGATGACCACAAAATAAAGTGAGACTAGATGCAAGCACTTTTTTTCAAAACCTCTTTCTGTTTGTTATAACAACATTTGGTTTTAATGGGTTCGTTGCACTTGCTTTTCAAATGTAGATATAAGCCACATTCAAACTTGTATATCAGTGGGGAATTGATGTCAGTCACTGTTATAAGCTCTATTTTTCTTTTTGATTAAGAAGTTTGATACATTTAACACTGATCAATTGTAGTTTTAAAAACTCATCAAAACAGATTTAATACTATAGTGATTATTATTAGTATACTTGCTTTTGCTATTAATCACTTTGAGCTGACAGATTTCACTTTGTGCATGCAAGTAAATAGACATTGAATGTTGAAAGCTGTTAGTATGTTCTTACATCAAGATCTTTTCTAACTGAAAAGATAGACTGACAAAATATAACTCGCTTTAGGTCTCAGCAGTTCTTAGTTCTGCCCTATTTAACTGATTACTTGTGCATCTGTCTCCCCCTACAGGAGACTTTGTGATCCTGCTGAACGCTGGGATGAGTGTCCCACAGGCCATTTTCTTCAACCTGTTGTCTGCTGTGTCCTGTTACATTGGTCTGGTGCTGGGGATCCTTCTTGGGAGCAGCTTTGCCCCTAATGTGATCTTCGCTATTGCCGGAGGAATGTTCTTATATATTGCTTTAGCTGATATGGTAAGTTCACAGTTTAGAGCTTTTAAAAAACGCAAATGGTCCGATCTGGCAACAGTAAATGTGTAGTGCATTTTTAATTTAAATACTTTAAAAGACATAACTTGAGAAAATGACTATCTATTGAAAGAGGTTATCAGCACGTTAAACAAAAACAACTAGACTTACATAGCTTTTCTGAAGCCAAAGTTTTGCTATCAACCAGATAGCTTCATCAGGACATCATTGCTTTTGTTTAACTCACTGATAATATCTTATTCCTGGATTTTTTGGAAATCATCAAGAAGTTGTTTCAGCCTTTGGAAGCATTTAGTATCTTGCCATTAGACTGCAACATTGTCCCTATTAAAACTTGGAGCAAAGTTATTATGATTTTGAATCAAGGTACTGAGGGCAGATTGGGTCTGTCTTATTGCCCCACAACCTCTCTTTTCCTTTAACTAATTTTGAGTAGGAAAATTCACAGATTTTAACCAGTATAACCAAAGTAGTAGAATACCTTGCTTAAAGGCACAAATGCAGAAAAGAACGGACGTATGCAGGTTAAAATAGGGGTGAGTGGCAATACACAATATAAATAATTTACCACAAAAAAAAAAAAATCTGTCTGGACAAGCTCAGTTTAGATTTTGTATAGTCAATCTTAAATTTAAGTAACTTTTCATTTTAGTTTAATCCCAATTTCTGGTGAGCTACTGACTTCTCTTTCTCTTTATACCACCAATAAAACAGTAACACACAGACCAATATACTTGCTGAGGTGCAATTGCAAGGAACAGCAACTTGAAAAAAATTTAAAATGCAAAGCACAAATAGGTGACAGATGTCCAAAACATTTTATTTCTGATTATTTTTCAGCAAATAGCCATTGTCAGATAATTTTTCTTTCTTTCTTTGACCCAGAGTGTATGCCTCTGTATCCCATACCATTCGCTGTACAATGCCCCAGTATCACAACTCACAAAGCTTCAATTGTCCTTTCTCTTTCAGTTTCCAGAGATGGACAATATCGCTCGGGAGCAGTCTAAGCGCTCGTCCAAAATTGTATTCTTCCTGATCCAGAATGCAGGACTCCTCACCGGATTCACCATTATTCTCCTCATAACGATGTTCGCCGGAGACATCAACCTGGGCTAAACTGGACCAAAACTAAATAAAAACCCTTAAGTCACATGCTGCTTAAAAACCTGCTTTCTCAACAGAGCAGGAAGGAAAGTGAATGTAAAAACCAAATGCTTAAGGAAAACTTTTAACTTTTAGTGGACTGTTTACTCCTATTAAAGGGAAAATCTTTGCAATCATTTGTATGAAATGTAGTTAAATTTATTTTAAGGAGACAATAAATTATTTTTTCAGTCTTCATATATTGTGAGATATTTATTTGAACAACTTTACATTGTCATTCTGAGTTTACCTACATTAATGCTTCTGCTGTTAAACTAAATATCAAGTTACATTTATATTTCAGGAACATGCTAATTAATTATCTCATGTGTCATTGTTTTAAAAGCAATTTTTGGAGTTGGTGCATTGTTTTTAATATTGTAAGTCTCTTCCTTTAAAGGGCCCATATTATACTGTTTTCTGATCTATGTTATAATGTTGTTTTCCTCATCAAAACTTTGTGTCATTCACACAAACCCTGCATATTTAGGCTGTCTTCTTCTCACTCTGTTCCACCTTGTGATGTCCCGGTGATGTCATGTGGTAAAACAGGGAGTGCTCCACTGTGCTTTTAAAGTCCATATACCTTACACCACACTAGAACATACATACACTAGAATCATTTGAATAATTTCAGCCTTGAATTGCCAAGGTCAACTGAACTAAAGGTAAAAGGTAGCTGGTAACTTGAAAACTACTGCTTCATGACATCACACTGTGGAACAGAGCATTTTGAGCTTTGGAGATGCAGACAGACTAATAATAAAGCATTACTCAAACATGTAGGACCTTTAACAGTAGCCTTGTTTGACTTCTTTTGACCTTATTTTTTAAGTTGCCCTTTAACTTACTTTAATTCCCCTTTGCCTTCACTAAAATGAAACATTAATCCAGGGTTGGGCAATTCTTTTTTCCATGCGAGACATGAGAAACTGAAAATATTGTGGAGGGCCAGGCCAAAATGAAACTTAACTCAATTCTGCATAATATGAATAGTATTTCTTTATAAAAAGTGGTCTGCCTTAACCAATGTCTTTGGTGTTTGACCTTTAATGGAGGGTCTTTCATTTTATGTTTATTCAAAAGCATTGGGACTGTTGCCAAAACAAACCAACCCACTCCTAAAAGCAGATGTTTAATTGTGTAAATGTGGGGCATTCATATTATTTTATTTTGTTCATTTTTTCTTTATGCTTACATTTGTTGTTCATGTTTTAGAAGTTGGCCAAAAATTTGTCACTTTATTGCAGCTTATGTGGTAAACTATAATTGGATGAATTATTGCCTGGGTTTCATCATGATGAAAAATTAGGATGGTTGCCTTAGTAATTAACAATTCAAAACAAAATATTATCATATATATATATATATATATATATATATATATATATATATATATATATATATATATATATATATATAAACCCGCGAATAAACACAAATATAACATGCCTAATCATTTAGTAATAAAGGAATTGAAAGGTGTTTTAGAAACTTTTATATAATAGTGTAGCTTTGGAAAGAAATGAATTCTAAAAAAACACATAACAAAGGTCAGAGCACAGATGATCAGCCAATCAGCGTCTTCGACAAACCGATTAGGGTGCATTCACGTAAATTTGTGCGAACATTTTCGTTGGTACAGAGTTTTGTACAGGGTTTAAATAATCAACTAATTTCAACCTTATACGCTACATCTGGGTTTGTGGGCACAAATATATTATGGATTCTAGTGAATATTTATTATGGAATAACAGCTAAGTAATCACAGCCCACCACAGTAATCTTATCACTAAACCATTTTACATTTTGTTTAACTCATTCTACGACTGCTACTTGAACGCACCACAGGAGAAGGAAGCAGAGCGCAGAGAATGAAATGATACAAATGTGACTTTGGACAACTTACTTGTCTTCGTTTTGGAAGAACCAGGGTTTGGAGGCTATTTGGACCACTTCAGACAAACTTCGAGGTATGCTTTAACTGCATCTAGTCAATTGTATCTTGTAACGCATTTATTCTGAGATATATAATGAGGCTAACGTTGTGCGTAGCTAGCTGTTGTCCTTATGAGAATTATAGACACAATTAGAACATTTAACTGTAGGATAATTTTACACTTTACACCACTTTTAGAAAAAAGCCTCTTTAATTCATTGACATTTCATGATATGAGGTTAAACAGTAATAATACATCGATTCACCGTTTTGTCAACATTAGTGATGTCACGTGACCTTGTGTGATTTGCGTAAATAGCTTTTAACCCAGTTGTTCTGTCTGCATTTTATGTCCTTTAGCAAAGGATTGTAGTTTTAAAAGCTTAAGATGTGCTATTCTGTTTCTTTTATTAATTATATTTTGAACTTCTTTGTGTAGCTCAGGCATATACATGATTTCTTTTGACATTGACTGACAGTGCATGTTAAATTGTAGTGTGGTGGTCTAAAAACAGGTCTTTCCATTTTGTAGCTAATATCATTGTCAATTGGTAGAAGAAAAGACAGTATAGACTATTAATTTTGTGTATATTGTTGTCCCTCATAATTTCATATTTTTCCTATGTTGGAAGGAGGACAGAGCCATGGCCGCCAGTTTCCAGATCAGAAAGTTTCGTGATGAGGATGCAGAGGCGGTCCAGGAGGTCTTCACTGTCGGGATGAGCGAGCATGTGCCCTCTTCTTTCACACACATTTTAAAGCAGCCCCTTACTCAGATGGTGCTCATGTGTATGTTCTGTGCTCTGATGACAAGCTCAAAATCCTTCCTTTTACCGATCCTTGCTGTTACATTACTTCTTGCAGCTATTCGCCAGCTAGTTGTCCACATGTTTAACGCCTACATCGAAACCTCACTCAAAAAAGACCTGCAGAACATTTCAGAGACCTACCTCAAGCACAAGGATTCTTGCTTTTGGGTGGCAGAGGTAGATGGGCGTGTTGTGGGTACCGTAGGTTGTCTCCCAAATGAGAACGTGCCTGAAGCGTTGGAGCTGAAGCGTATGTCTGTGCGGCGCAGTCATCGTGGCATGGGCATCGCCAAAGCTTTGTGCAGGACAGTGGCAGACTTCACTCGAGAAAGGGGGTATGCAGCGGTTGTCCTTTACACATCTGTGGTACAAAGAGACGCTCAGCACCTCTACGAGCACATGGGCTATGAGAAGACCAAGGAGTTTTCTGCGCCAGACTTTATTGCCAAAATAACTAACTTTAATTTGTTTGAATATAGGCTGCAGTTGAAAAAAGATGACTGAGTTGAATATTATGTTATATTACTTACTTTTCTGTAAAGGAAGGTGATTTAAGTATAGAGTTATCTTTATGTCCAATGTACTTTCATGGGGCAAAACATTTGAATGCACATTTCAAGGTTTGTTATAGACAGATACACACAATTGATGCACAAAAAGAAAAAGGTGTCCTTGTTCTTGTATAATATATTCTCTATTATGAGCTGTTTAATCATAGACCAACAAATGAGTAAAAGGTGCATTATGTAACTTTTCTGATGAAGAGACTGGGGACTGTTACTTGACCAAGTTGCTGGTCAACTTTTATAGTAAGAATCTATGTTTTTGAAGGTATTTTTTAGCAATATAAACACGTGGAATGAATGAAAGATAAGTTTCCAGAAGCATTCCAGGCAAAGCAATAAGGAAACGGGCAGATGTGAACCTTCCACCAGAAAAGTTACATAGTAACCTTTAAGTCAAATCACTGTTATGGAAAACTAAAGTTTGGCTGGTGTAGTCTCAAAATTTAATCAAAAAAATAATGGAAAAAAAAGAAAAAACTCTTATTTGACCTGTAAGAGGGCCTACTCCTGCTTGTTTTCATGGAAATATTGTTCTTTTTACTATAATGTTCCATAAAATATCTATTCTAAAATCACTAAAATGAATCCATGGAGAATGTTCTGCTGGATTAAAATATAATCATGTAAATTTTGGTATGTTTTCGCTATATTTAAGGAGAGGGCATTGGTTACAGGTTTAAAACTGGGTAAAATAACAGTTTTTCCTTTATTACCTGACTCAATATATTCATAGAGACCTGATAATAAGTATACCAAAAGAGTTACATTCACCATGTACACTAATATGTGTCTTAAAATAGACTGTACTGACCTCATGCCCAGCGCCAGATCCTGTAAAGGTAAAATCAAATTATTGATCAGATCATCAGTGTATTATCACACCACTCACTTCCATACACAGAAACAGCCATTCTGAGAGTTATTGTCTAACTTTTAATAAGTGCTTTGTTGACAGCTTGCATCTTCCTTAGAAACTTATCATTTTCCAATTTTTTCTGTTTGCCTGTGTAAAGTAAACCCATAATTTAATACATAATGTCATTTTAAACTACAGTGTGTGATTGAGCTGGGGATAATTCATTGTAATTCTTTGTATATTCCTTAAAACATGTCTTTTAATATGACTAGGTTAAAACAATAAGAAACTGGCCACAACTCTGACTGACTGCATTGTTTTATGACTGTTATGATATAATTAATTGGGGTTTTTTTTATAATGATTTTTTTCTTAATTAAAAAAATGTTATTTATAAATTCTGTCTAGATGTTTTATTAGATCTCCCACAGTATGTTAAAAACTATTAATGGCACAGCAAGAAGCAACGATAGGAGATAAAGTATAGTAAATATACTTCTGAAATGTATTTACCAAGTACTATATCACAAACTAAAATCACAGACTAGTGTGACATGTTACTTGCAGCCTTATTGTCCCTCACACTATTTATACCAAACTGGTACAGCTCCTTCTGGTACTTGAACAGCTCTTTTATATGAGGGTTTGCCTCATTTAAAATTCATTCTATCCACTTTTTGTCCTCCTTTGGATAATTTTTTGTTTAGAACTACCGTGGAAATGCTGTAGTCCATTTTTAGACCTGATTTAGCCCTAAGTTAGACTTGGGATAGTCCTGTTATATACTTCATTTAAATCTAATGGTACTAGGAAAATCAAATCTTTTCCTTGGTGGTACACCATAGGCACACTATGTAACTTTTCTGGTCTGTCACCTGCTCCATGGTGATGTCATTGCTTTGCCTGTGTTCCACGGTATAGCATTTAATGTATCTATCTAGGATTTGTTTTCATTACAGATATCTTGAAAAACAGGCTTGCCTGACAACTGATCTGATCTGTAACTTGGCCTGGTGGCGCCGCAGGTCTCTATGGAGATGGATAAATTAAATGCTATACTTTGGATCACTGTAACCAAGCAAAGCAATATAACATAAGCAATTTAAGAAGTTGCGTAGTGCACCTTTAAGAGAATCATCAAATCAAAGTTCAGGCTGCAGTTTTATTCAGTGTCCACTAGGCGGCGCCACATCATCAGCGCCAGAGCAGCAGCAGAGTCCGTGCGTAATGTGCGTAACAGGCAAAATCGAAACTCATGAGTTCACCTTCAGATAAATAGTTAGTGCCCCACTTTTAAGCCTTAGAATATTGATTTATTCCACTTGGACAAAATGAACGGGTCTTTGCATTCTTCTTCTAAAGCTGTGGACATTAAACTAAAACGAGGTCCTTCAGGTAAGAAACTTTAGCAGTGTTAGCTCAGTGTTAGCTTCTGGTTTAGCCACTGCAAAAATCACCACAGGAAGGCTAAAAGCGTTTGTGAAAGTAGTCTATGTTTGTTTACCACGGGTTTTCCTAATTACCTAATCTCCTGTAAGTATTAATTATCCATTTTAGTGAGTTGACAACATTGTAATGTATTTAGATTAAGTTAATGTGTGCCTTTTGTTGCATCAGATTGGCACAACTTTCACTTTTGCCTTCCACGTTGAGATTTATTGGCAATTTATTCAGAAACAGCTCGTATTTTATATATGGTGATGTAACACAGGCCTACAAGCTGTCATATAATCTGTTTGCCCTTTGAACCATAGAGATAAAAGCTGTAATTTATTAAGTTATTTTAATATTAACTTACTGTAAACATCTAGGCAACATTATTGGGCTTTGTTGATAAGAAAATGTGTGTTTTTGTTTAGGTTTGGGCTTCAATATCGTTGGGGGCGTGGATCAACAGTACGTGGTGAATGACACTGGCATTTATGTGTCTAAAATAAAGGAAGATGGATCTGCGGCGGAGGACGGCAGGCTTCAGGAAGGAGATAAAATTCTGGCGGTAATACAGTATTTTGTCTTTTTTCAAGGAAGTTTGGGCAAGCAGATGTCATTTGCAGGGGCATGATACTGATACTAATGTAGCTTTTAGGTTTTAACTTGAAGTCTAAGCATTTGTTTCACTTATAGTCCATCAAATATCAGGGAGATGTTTTGTCCCTCATTTTTCAACTTCCTACTTGATATTTTTTCCCTATAAATGTAGTTATGAAAGCTGCACCATGGAACTTTTTACTGCAGCGTTTCTCTTAGTTTTGGTTCAGACTATGGTGGCAAGGTCAGAGTTTAAATGTCACTTATGGAAACTTAAGTTTTTTGTATTTCAACAGTATTTTTGAACAGTGTAGTTACTTTTTTATTTATTTGATAGGGACAGTGCATAATAATGAGCATCTGTGCTGTGTCCGTAGGCCGGTGACACAGTAGACAATACAAAATGCAAAACAGTTACAAAGAGACATAACATAGAAGAGTAAAAGGCCAGATTAAAAATGTTCACAGACTTGGTTATCCTTCATCCATAGTTTAAGGTGCAAGTTGAATGTAGACAGAGATGGACTTTCTCTTATTCAGTGGGAGACTGTTCCAGTAATTAGTTATGTATAAAACAACAAAGTATCATTTTGTTATGTCAAAGTTTAGTCCATGTTCTTTTTAAACTACGGAGGACAATTCTAGACTATAGGGGGCACCATAGTCTAGTAATGGGAATATAAATAATATATATATAATAGTAATGTTATCGTTTTACCGGAATGTTCCACAGTATAGAATAGAATTTTGCAATTTTGCATTTATTTCATTACAGATGTTTTTTTGTTTTTCTTTCTGTGATCTAGTATAAATATGCAGGTGGTTTATTGGAGCTTATAAAAGGGGGTGTTTAATATGTAATATTGACTGATTATTGTATTTTTCTGTAGATAAATGGTGTAAACCTTGAAAATCTAAAGCATAGAGAAGTTGTGGATCTGTTTAGAACAGCAGGAGATGATGTAGAACTGAAAGTCCTCAAAAAGGTATGTGCATATGTTATTTGAACAATGCTTACAATTTCAATTATTTAAAAAGTAGATTTATTTGGAAAAAAAAAATGTTTATGATTTTACCATTACAGTCTTCTCGCCACATGAATGGACCTTTTGGATCACAACCGGACCATGACTCCTCCATCTCGACTTTGGGACTATTAGCTCTGTTAACGGCGGGTGTTGCTGTTGCTGCTTTTATTTACTTTCGAGGCAGGCAAGTTTAGGCTGCCATTTTAATTATACTGAAAAATGTCTGAAATCACAATTGCTACGGGCCAAAGAAATCACCAGGAATTCAAACTCTAGTTGATGAGTTTGTCTTGGTCTTTGTGTTTAAAGGGCCCATATTACGCTATATTCTCATCAATGTTGCTGCCTCATCACAAACATACCGGGAGTTGTGTTTTGTTTCATTCGCACATGTTTAACACACAATCCCTGCATATTTAGAGTTTTTCTCTAAAACAGAAAACACTCTGTTCCACCTGGTGATGTCATGTGGTAATACTGGAAGTGCTCCACTGTGTTTTGAACCACCATATACCTTCACTAGAATGATATGGATGATTTCAGCAATGAAATTGCCAATCTCACTGAACTAAGGGTAGAAGGAGCTGTAAACTTGGAAACTACTGATTCACAAAGGAAAACATTTTGAGCTTTGCAGATATAAACAGACTAAAAGGTTACTCAAACGTGTGTGAATAAAACAAAACACAACTCTGGGTATGTTTTTGGGGAGATAACAACATTATAACATTGCTTAAAGCTCTTACGAGTCAATTTGCGTAATATAAGACCTTTAATGATTGGTAGCTCCTTTGCACGTTTCCAATGCAAAACTATGCTCTCTTCTCACAGAGGTTACTTAACTGAAAGGAAGTGGAAAAAACGATGACATTCCCGCTGCAGAGCTGAGCCGCGCTAAGCTATTCTGGCAGCAGTTTATATTTATGTAAAAAAGGAAATCAACTATTGTTTTATAATAGGCAAACTGAGCTAAAGCCATACTTATTTTGAATATTTAGAGAAATTATGGCTGCAAATCTTGATTGTTTGACTAACAAAAATCAACTCTTGCTGGAGAGCTAAACCAAGGGTCCCAAACTTTTTTTAGTCAATGGGCCAAAATGAATATGTATTAGCAGATCGAGAGTAATACCTAATGTTTTTCATGTTAATTTTGTCAAATTTTTGGTCAGTTATTGTACTTTTTGGGGGGATAAACTGTTATGAGCTCCTTTTCAGTGCAAAATTGAATCAAAATAGAGTTTAACTCTGATTTGACAAACCAAAGAATAAAATGCATGACCAGTTGAATATGCATTGGCAATTATATTATAAACTTTGCTGAAATTATTAAAGAAGGATTTATATTTTTGCCTGAGTGAGAACAAACCATTGCACTTTGAATACATCACTGGGAATGATTTGATTTTGCACTGTAGAGAAACAGCAGTACTGTTCGACCCATAACAGAAACTATTTACTAAGTATTTGGAGTGCCTTCTAGCTTTCTTGACAAAATGGCAGATGTTGTAAGTTAGCTTCTTGCTTCTCCAGAAATGAAAATCAAATAATGTCATAAACACTAAAAGCGTGTGTGGGATTCCAGTTAAAGGTGTCACTGTATAACTTTTATGATGATTGTTTTGCCTGAAATGTTTCACAATATGGTATTAAACTTGTTTATTTTGCATTTATTCTATTAAGTGTTTTTATTGCTTAAAATGCCAATCTAACACGGGCATTCTTGGATACACTGACATGCCTCTCCATAGATCTGACCTGTATCTAAGCCTCGTTTCATTTCTGCTTACCTTTAGGGAGGCAGAAGAGTTTAGTACTTTACTGTGGAACATTCCAGGCAAAGCTGTAACTCCACAGCTCCATGGATACAACAAAAGTTACACCATGCACCTTTAAAGGTTTTGTATCTTGTCAATTTCAAACTGATCTTCCATGTTAAATCCCAAGTGCATATTATGGTTGAATCTCTGCTAACAGCTAAATATGTGTCAGAAATGTCATTCAGGTCTAATCTAAATCAGAAATCATGTTGTATATTTATAAAGGGAACCGCTAAAGTATTGTTCGCTAGAATAATCATTGTAGCAAAGCTCGGATTGTGTATTTTTGTAAGCAGCTGCCCATGTTTATGAAGGACTTTTTTGCACTAGCAACAATCACAATTCAATCACAACAATAGATGTGGATGTGCTTGTCCGTATTGTCTCACTGCAGCCTGTATTTTACTGTAATATCTGTAAATACATTTCCATTTGCTCGCCTCAAATATGTGAATATGTGCATTATGCCAGAATAAAGACCACAACAGAAGAACTATCAAAATGAATTGTTTATTTTTTTAATATGACTGATCAGTGTAAAGTAGTTTATAACATTAATAAAAAATCTGTAATAAAAGCTAGTTCCCATTCTTAAAGGGCCTATATGCTGTTTTCTGATCTATTTTATAATGTTACGTCCTCCTCGTCACAAACATACCTGGAGTTGTGTTTGCTTCATTCGCACATATTTAACAACACTGTACACCTTGTGATGTCATGTGGTAATACAGGAAGTTTTAATCTTCGTACACCTTCACTAGAATCATTTGGCTACTAATAAGAAAGTGTTACTCACGTGTGAATGAAATAAAACACAACTCCAGGTTTGTTTTGAGAAGATAATAGCATTAAAACATGGCTAAAACCTCACAAGAGTTAATATTGTTTACTCTAGGACCTTTAAAATGCAGTGTTTAGCGCGGCAGACGGGGGCAGTAGAGCAGTACCATCCCCTCTCCATCAGCTGTGGTCGGAGGATGTCGCTTCGGAGGCAGAAATGATGTAATCAAAAAGCTTCATCTGAACATGGACATTGCCTGAACATTACAGCGAGAAAAGCGAGGATTACCAGCGTTCGGGGGACTTATTTGACCTGCTTTACCCGCGTCTTAAACCGTGCTTTTGGGGTCTGTCTGCGCGGGGGATGCACCGGGGGTTCGCTGCACTTGGATGCGGTACAATCTGCAGTAGTAGCCGGGGATGCTACGCTCAGTCTCGCCGCTACTTGCCTCGGCTCTCTCCGCGGTGATCGAGCTCCATCCCCCGCCTCAAAAATGACCCACACCCCGCCTCCATCCGCGACACCGAACCGCCCTTTCTGCTGCCCGCTCCTGGCCTCTTCCACCCCGGCTTTGAGCTCCCACACTTGCAGGCCGTGTATGTCCTCTGTGGATCAAGTTACCACCGTGTCCAATAGTGATTTTTAGCAGTGGTGGTCGCTTCAAAATTCAATCACATCACCAATTTATACACTTATTCTGTATTATTCATATCCTGGACACCTGTATGGCTTCGTGACAGTTCGCTTTGTGGACATTTGAGGGTTGTGGATAATACGAAGATATGTCCAGGCTGTACCGGGCGATCTGCAGCCCTCACGCCGCCTCTCCAGCAGCTGTCCGCGGCTTGGCCCTGTGACTTCAGACCGCTGCTGTTGTGGAGGAGCAGCTGAGACGCAGAGGGCGGACGGTTGCCTTTCCATCTCAGGTCTAAACCATGGCCAATGAACCTGTTATCCTTAATGTGTACGACATGGTAAGGAGTCCAGCCGCGATTACCCAGTTAATTAAATCCATGTTTTCTTTGACAGATGTTTTCAGGCTGACATTCAATACTGGGCCAACACTGAAGGTAACAGGCTACAGATCAGATCAACTCAGTCATTCAATCAGTCCACTGTATTCTGTAGCTAAGAATACATACTAAACCATTTTCAAGTCAGCTGTCCTAGATGAAATTAAATGATTTAAAGCTGCACTATGTAATTTGTGTCCACTGCATGCTTGTCCCCAATGGATATGTTCTTTGCCTGGAATGTTTCACTGCATTTTACTCAGTTACCAGTGTTTTTGTGACTAAAATTACCTTGAAAAACATGCATTGTTACTGTGAGTGGGATTGCCCCTTCACAGATGTAACCTGCTGCTGCCTCAAGGTAAACCTATGTTGCACATGATAGGTCTATGTTTAATGCCATACTGCCATACTCCATAGAGGCAAGCAGATGGTAGATCATACAACCAGAAAAGTTACGTAGTGCAGCTTTAAAACTTTGGGTTTGTTTCTGCACATAGGGAATTCACCTGTTTTTAGTGACTTTATTGTCTTATTTTCTTCTCTTATTGTCTCAAGCAAATTAGTTAATGGATTGTGTCTTAATTTTTACATTTTATCAGACTTAATCAGGTCAACACCAGGTCTAATATTTCTAATACCACAGTACCAATGTGATCGGTTTGCTTCAATTTCTAGTCATGAGAGTGCTAGTGTGTATGTTTTCCCCAGTGGATTCCTGCTCTATATGTGTGCCATGTAGCTATAAGTAGACATATAATGAAAAGGGTTAAGTATACTGTAAAATCTGGTATGACAAATTAGATCTGATCCACTCTTGAGCACCGCCCTGTGTGTCTCTGTCAGCAGAATCCCACATAAACTACAGCATTGATTTTATGAGGCATGCTGCACGAATAGGGCACGAGCCAAGGACAAAGCAACAACAATGTTTTATAGTGAAAGGAAACAATCACCAAGCTCCTGAATTTTACATGTACTCTGATCACTTAGCTACGCACTTATGTGTATAGTATATATTCTCAAACACAGTGTTGACAATCACCCATAGCAACCATTACCATTGATCATTTGTATAGCGCTATGGCAACAGTAGGCCTGTCACGATAAACACAGATAGATTTATAGTTCAATATAAGTTAGATGTAACAATATATTTTGGGGTTCAATATTTATTGGGAGTACTTTTTCTTTGTAGTAGTGGAAAACGTTTTGTTATTTTTCAGTACTACGATGATATTTGAGTTGTAGAGGGTTGAATTATGAACTTCTATCTTCATTAGTGTTAATTCTGTTATTTATTTATTGCAGCTCATATTTTTTGTACATTTAGAATACTTTTTGTGACATTATTCTGGTGTATGGTTTGGTTTCAGTATTATTGTTGATTGTCTATATTTACAAAATTTGTTATCACGACAAGCTTATTGATCACTTAGCTAGTCACTTAAATGTAGAGAATATATTCTGAGTGTTGACAGTCACCCATAGCAACTGTTACGGTTGATCTTTCAGCACGGCTCTATGGCAGTACTATGTCAAAGGTCATTGTTGAAATGAGTGAGGAGGAGTCCATAATCAGGTTTAGAGTGTTTAATCATAACCTGTAATGGAGCTCAACAGTGACAGCCTGCTCCGGTTCCAAGTACATTTTCCATACATTGTTTTTTTTTTTTTTTTTTTTCAGATATTCAAATATTTAGATTTCAGAGCCATCAAGGAGTTTAAGCAGCTGCGTACTGGTTTATCCATAAGTAGTTTTAAGCCTAAAAAAGTGTATTTAAAAGACACATTTCGGACACAAATTTTAAATAACATTATAGAAGGTCATTAGCTACTTGCCACTTAGCTGATTAGCCTTGAGCAAGCTTTCAAAATTTATTATATTTATTTTTTCTGGAGGTCTATGGGAAAAATGAATGAGAAATTAGGCGTTCACTGCGGAGTTCCGTAACAGCATTAACATGTGGTTGTGTTGGCAGGACTACAACACAAGTACAACATCTAATATAGTACACATAGAATATCTACTGTCATAGAAATAGATGTGCACAAAAACAAACTATTCATAAAGCCATGTTCAGGCTGCCAAAATAATTATATTTGAATCAAACTCACAATTTCAATGGTTGTAATTAGCAAATTTAAAAAGATGCAGTTAGCTCATGTAAAGTTCTCTGCAAATGAAAAATGTTGTTATTATAACTATTATAACTGCTGTCACTGAAATGCATGTGATTTTTGTACAAGTTTAGCAGTTTATTTTCAGTCTTCTCAAATATTAGCGCTCCTGGACGTGTTTAAGAAGTGCATAATGTAAACTGAATTCTGACATTAAAACATAAACTGCAAAACATAACTAATATGCAAAACCTTCCTTGGAGATTCTTTATAAACCAAATATTGCCATTTTTATAGCAGCGTTAGAACATAATTGTGTAACAAATCATGAATGAGGGGGAGGGCGTCCAGCTTAAAACTGTCTGATAATGACAGTAGCAGTGAAGGACACGTGGACTCTTTTCCTGGTCCAAGACGGTGCACTAAGCTTATTGAGTTGAGTTAAAACAACATTATTGATCCAAAGGAGAAAAATACATTTCCCAGAAGTCAGTTGGATGTAACAGCCAGGGTTCAATATTTACAGTGCAGAGGACAAATTATTTTTCTTGTAAAGGAAAAATGTTGATGGTTGTTGGAAGTTTCTGTACTTTCACTATCTGCTCTAAATGCCTGGTTGGTGCTGACATTGCAAACTGAGCTCTAGACAAGTATCCCATTCAGAGACCAGTTCTGTCCCGAGTGAGTATTACGCAACTGTTACTGTCAGACCACAAATGCAAAAGCCCTTTACAGTGAAAAGTGGCTCAGTGATATAGCAAAGGATTGTGGCTGTTGGGTACAGCAATATCTGTAGTATTATGAAGTTTTAATATACTTTCAGGCACAATAATTGTATTTTTTTCTTTAAGTAAAATGCGCATGCTTCAATTAACTAGTCAAAGGGTTCATCACCTTCTTATTTCTATGGATATATCACTGCTCTGCCTGCAAT